TGGTCGCGCTCAGTCGTGAGTCAAATCCTATGGGTGCACGCTGGTCCGGGCAACGGCAAGTCGACATTGTGTTCCATGGTGATCGATCATCTTTTGAACACAGGCAAACAATGTTGCTACTACTTCTACAAACATAATCATCTCCAGAAGCGCAAAATCGCGAACATGCTCAAATCCTTCGCCTTACAATCAGCCGCGCAGAGCGCCCGTGCTTGTGAGGCACTGGCAGGTATTGCTGACTCCGGCGCCAAGCTGGACAAAACGGATCTGCTCACAATTTGGAGGACTCTGTTTCTCGAAACTCAAGCTGCTTTCACGACGAGAGAAGATGTTTATTGGGTGATTGATGCGGCCGACGAGTCCGAGTCTCCCAGACAGCTGATTGAGTTGCTTTCTACCATCTGCGATTTCACGGACCGAGTCCACCTCATCCTATTCAGTCGTCTTCAGCCAAGCATCTCACAAGCCATACAAAAAGCTCGGAAGAAGGTCACAATCGTGAACCAGCCGCTTACAGACAACACTGATGATATACGCCTCGCAATCACCGACGACATCGAGTTTTTGCCCTCCAACGACGTCCAACTCAAGACTGAGATTGCCAATACCATTGCACAGAGGGCACAAGGAAACTTCCTGTGGGCGAGTCTTGTTGCCAAACAAGTGGTGGAATGCCGTCGGCGCGACCAGATCATGAAGATACTTGAGACCACGCCAGACGGGATGGACAGTCTTTACGACCGAATGCTACAAGCAGTGTCATGCAACCAGGACCCCGAGGATGCCAATCTCGCCCAGATATTTCTGACTTGGGCAATGTACGCCCGGAGACCTCTCACGGTCGAAGAACTATCCGGACCATATCATAACGAGCTGCAGTCTGTCATGGACCTCAAACACATGGTCCACGATGTGTGTGGCCAGTTCGTCACGATTAACACCGACAACAAGATTACACTCATCCATCACTCAGCGAAGGAATACCTCCAAAGACAGTCACCAGAAGGAATCACGCTAGACTCCCGCAAAGGCCATGAAACATTGCTTGGCAAATGCCTTGTAGCTTTGTGCGACAGCGGTCTGAAGGGCAAGCTTCAATCACTCAACATACCAGCGTTTCTCCAATATGCCGCTACGTCCTGGGTGCATCACTTAGAGAATTGTTCAGTACGGTCCGACCGCGTGCTTAATGGACTTGTGCGATTCTTCCAAAGCCATTCTTGCTTGACTTGGGTTCAGTACATGGCTATGGGAAGCCATCTTTCCGATTTGCCCGACATGGCACGCAAGATCACGATGTACACCAAAACCAGAAACAAGCTCGACGCTGAAAAGTCACCTCTACTGCACAGAACAGTAGATTTGTCTCTCATAGAAACATGGGCTAGCGACCTGTCCCATCTAGCAGTCAAGTTTGGGCGAAACCTGCAACAGGAACCGTCGATGGTTTTCAAGTGTGTGCCGGCGCTCTGCCCTGCATCGTCCCCATTACAGCAACAATTCTCAGCGGCGCGCTCCTGTATACTTTCGCTGACTAGCAAGCCGAGCGAGAACTGGGACGACTGTATTGCTCGAGTATCGACCGAAGGTGGCAAGGCTCTCCGCCTCGCCTCATCGGCTTTGTTCCTCGCAGTGGCTCATGAAGTACCACGCGGGAGTGTCACCCTCTGGGACACCACCTTGTATCAGGAATCCCGAAGTTTTATCATCAACCAGCGAATATCTTGCTTGGAGTTCAACAAGACTGGCCAGCTTCTAGCGTGCTGTGGCGTTAATCGAACGGTGGTATGGGCTGTCAAAGATGCGTCTACCAAGATCGACCAGCCGAACCCACCACGCGAACGCGCTATTGCGTTGGCGTTCGACGACAATGACACGCTGTACATGGCGACTGACCTGCGCCGCGTATATAAATTGTGCACGAGACAGTCGGACAGTGTCTGGACTCGTTCAGACACAGCCCTGCTGCAGGAGACGAATCTGCCATCAGGAGTCTGGCTCAGCACGCCTTCAGGCATCACCTTCAATAGTGACTGTACACAGGTCGCAGTTGCTTATAAAGCTTTCGCCCCAACCATCTGGAGTTTAGACCCTCCGCGAGTGCTTGCGCGATTCCCGCAACGAACAAGAGTTGAGCTCGGGCGGCCTCCGCCGACATCCCACAGTGGTACTAGCAGCCTGGTCTGGCACCCTTCCGGTTCGTTTCTCTTCGGCATCCACGGCGAGATCTTCAAGTGGGATCCCTCCGAGGACACCTACGAAGTCGTGCAAGGCGAGACGGACGTCACGCCAAACTCCATCCAGTGCAGTCCGAACGGCTTGGTATTCATTACTGGCGACACGCAAGGTTCCATCAGGATATATGACGTAGGGTCAATGGCCCTGCTGTACAAGCTCACGTCGGAAGACGGCACGAGCCGCATCTCGTTTAGCCCCGACAGTCTCCGATTCTACGATATCCGTGGGTCGTATTGCAGCGTCTGGGAACCAAACTGCCTGTCCCGCATAGCCGACGCGGCACTGAGTAGAATCAGTGACTCGGACAGCACCGACGACAGCTTTTGGTCGGACGATCAGGAAACGGCTTCTGTGTCGCTATCTTTCACACCGTCCGAGAGCCACGCCGACAGCATATCGGCGATGGCGACGCTCGCTGCTACGCTCAATCTGAATGGCCGAAGGCTGGCCGGATACTCCTTGGAGAACGGCGTGGTAGAGCTCTGCGATCTGAGCAGCGGGTTCATCTACTCGGTGAAGCAAAGCACCATGGGTGCGATCACAGAACACATTGCTTGCAGCTCTCTTGAGCCATACCTTGCATTATCCGACACATACGGCGCCGTGTCCGTGGCAAGGATAATCTTGAAAGACAAAGAAGTCAAGCAGACCCTCGTCTACAGTGACACACAGTTGGCCCAGGCTCGGGGTACCACAAGGCAGCTGCTTTTTGTCGAGCGGCCCGAGACAGGCAGTCATCTTCTCATAACCGGAGAACAGCGAACCCAGATTGTTTGCCTCCAAGACGGCTCGCTTTCTGCTGATCTTGACAATCCCCATGGAGAACATGGCCGATGGGAGTGTCTACCCGAAAACCTGGTTTGTGTCACCACCACAACTGCAACGGTCTACGACTTGGACCTCAAGCAATGCGGAACAATACGACTCTCACTCGGGAACTTTCTCACGCCCAATAGCAACTCTACAATCACTCAGATCATCGGCAGCTTTACAGCCCGACACGTGCTGCTGCGAGTGGTCACGAACAACAACAACCGCAGACGACACAGCTATCGCGTATTAGCCACTTCGGCATTTGCATGTCCATATCAAAACGACTCGCCGTCCGTCACCGAGGTCCAGGGATTAGAGCTGCCTACTTCTCTTTCCGAGATCATCAGGTACCCATTGGGAATATTGCCCAGCGGCGATATTGTATTTGTTGACAAGGCACTCTGGATCTGCACTGCGCAGCTCTCAGATCCAAAAGGTCTCCACAAGCGGCATTTCTTTGTACCCAACGACTGGCTCACTACCACAGGGATGCTACTCGCAAGGCTACTAGAGGACGGAACAGTCATCTGCCCCTCGAAAGGGAGGCTGGTGGTTCTGAAGAGCGACATTGGATCGCAGTGGAGGTAGTCCAGGGTGACCCATGAAGGGGCTCAGTGTGCGAATGAACCAAGGGACAGCGACTGGCACATACGGTTATTGTAATAGCAGACACTTTTGGAGAGCAAGAACAACCCAAAGAACAAATTACTGATTCGCACGACTGAGGAAAGGTTGCAATTTTGTGTTACTGGGTGACGATGCACCATGCTCCCCAAGGGAGGTACTTTCTTAAAAGACAAAGATACTCCCGCTGCTCCGAAACCACCCCGCGCCACCCCGCTGAACTGATATAAAGCATTCATCGTAGATTGTGCTAGAACTTGGGTTCTATCGCCCGCAATTCTCATGGGCCAGTCCTTCCCACCGGGTCAAACCTCGATTTGTGTGGGCCCCTCATACATCCCGGGTGGGAGCCCGTCTCGCCGCAGCAATCCCAGATGTACCCGTCGGGATACTCCTCGCGCAGCTCCGCAGAGTCGATCACGCCATGGCACTTCTCGTCGTGGTCAGCCCAGAAGTCGCCTTCATAATCTGGATGGGTCTCGGCTGTGATCCACGTAATTAGCCATGGGGGTTTAATCAGTGTTAGAAAAGCGAAACTTCCATCGCGCCGACACACACACGCGCCGCACGTATAAAATCAGTGATTGGAAAGGGAGGACTCACCGTCTGGCTCATGCATCTGGCACGCCTGGGCGCCGTTGGACTGCGAGTCAAATGCAGCGCCGCACTCGACGCAGATCTCGGCCCCATTGTCGTCCTGCGTGGGCATCTTGCGCTTGACGCCCGCAGCAGTATTTTGCGGGACCTGCTGCTGCTGCTTCTGCTGCGAGCCCTTTGCCTGGAGCCGGGCGGCCTCAAACTTGTCGAGGTGTGCAAGCATCGTTAGGGCCTCACGCTCGAGTTTGCGGTCCCTGCGGCACAGCGCCGTCAGAGTGGCGCGGATGTGCTTGTCCGACGCGGTCTGGAGGAGGGCATTGTTCGCCGACATTGCTGGATGGACGTGCGGACTGTCGTTGTGCTTTCAGAGGGGTTAATGTCGATGGCAGTGCCGGCTTGTGTGCGTGCGTGGATACGAGGTGTACTTTGGTGTGAAGCGGTGTGTTGTCGAAGAGACTTGGAGGAGAAGCGCAAGCTGGTTCAAGGGTCCTGCGTTGACGTCAGTGGGTTGGGTGTCGCCGGCCCCTGCCAAGAACAACGTGGGTCCAATGGGAGATCATGCGCTGTGCCTCGATTTGGCCAGATTCATGGTATCATGGGGTGTTCTTCCTTCAAGAACTAGGTCCTGAAACCCTCGCTGAGAGCAGGACTAAGGAATCGTGGCACGACCGTGCCAGAAGCAACAATGGCTTCATATTGGACAATAAACTCGAAGATCATCATCAATCGGTCTCGTGGCCCAATGGCAAGGCGTCTGACTACGAATCAGGAGATTCTGGGTTCGATCCCCAGCGAGATCAATTTTTTGGCGGGGTAATTAGATGAAGCTGTCCTTCCGATTCCATTCCAAGATCGTTGGAATGCACGCCTTCACGTTTTTTTTTTGTTTTTTTTTGCAAGCGTCCATGGCGTCTACGGATTTCGTCCAATCACAATATCTGCGCTGTTGTGGTCAACGAAACTCATGCCCCGGCAATGTACACTAAAGGGTTGCAAGGCTACGGGGCCTGACATCTGCAAGAAGTACACCGCAGCTGGGTACATCCCACGCACCTTCTCACAAGCCAACCTTGCAAGTCCGATGAGCGGCACAATCAGGAATCAGGACCTTCCTTTCGCATCCTTTGCAGGTGTAATCAGCATCCGCCAAATTTAGTTCTTGCAATCTAAGCATCACCATCAATTGCAGTCAGGTTTTGCCATTTTAGACTATATTTGCTGGCTTTCTATTAGGTTATCTTGAAGCTACCACCTTCTCTTTCAATAATCTATCTATATGCACTCTTCATTTCCGAGTTTGTCTACTATCCTTATACAAGTAAATCAACAATACCCTTGCGCTTCTGGACTCGCATCTGCACCATCGGATTCACCACCGCAAAAAACCCGTTGCTCATAGGCTCCGCGCTGCAACCCTCGGCGAGCTGGATGTCGTACTTGAGCAGCACGTGCGCCATGGCGAGCTTCAGCTCGTTGCTGGCAAAGAACCGCCCGGGGCAGATGTGCCTGCCGGCGCCGAAGACGAGAAAGTCCGGGCTCGTCTGGACAAAGGCGCAGCTCTTGTCGCCGGCCTCGCGCATGCGCAGGAACCGCCGTGCGTCGAACTTGTCGGCGTCCGGGTAGACGCTCGAGTCCCAGAGCTGCGTCGAGTCGACCATGATGTGGGCGCCGCGGGGGATGACGCGGCCGTCGGGCAAGGTGACGTCCTTGAGGGCGGCGCGCTCGAGGACAACTGCGAGAAAAGCATGCTGGGTTAGCATACGAGGCATAGTTTTATGAATAGGCTGATATGTAGCATTGTTGGATGGACAAGGGGGTGTAAGAGAGAAAGTATGTTACCTGGACTGGCGCTTATTCTCTGCGACTCCTTGAGCACGCTGTCCATCAGGACCATGCTGGTCGTGGCGGCCACCGAGACGCCGTGTGTCGAGATCTGCTCAACCGCCTCCTTCCGGAGGGGCCCTGCGAGCTCGGGACGCCGCGCGACATCGATCAGGACCTGCCGGAATAGCTCGCTGGTAGTGAAGAGAGCGGCCATGGCGAGCGCGAGCTGGATGTCGGCAGGGTGCATGCTGCCGCCGCCGGGCGCTGCTGCGCTCCAAGCCAGCCCGTCGTTGTGTTCTGGCGGCACAAGTCCAGCGGCCTCAGCCTTGCGAGCCACCTCTTGCCTGTCCTTGACGACGCCGTCGATGATGATGCGGGCCTGGGAGAGCAACTTCCTGCAAGACACGGCGTTGGGCAGGAACCAGTGGACGATAGAACGCGACCAGACGGGCCACTTGTGCAGGTCGCCGACGGCCATAAAGTACGACATGACGTAACGCTGCACCAGCTCCGACCACTGCTCGTCGTCGGCCAACTCCGGGCCGACAAAGACAGAGGACGCGGCGCGCGCTATGATGCCCATGGTATCCTTGTGCCAGTCGATGGTGTGCCACTGCTCAGCGCCGGCGCCGGCCCAGAGGTCGTCGAGCGCGCGGGCGATGGCAGCGTTCATGGTGGCGGTGGTGCTGTCGTTCTGGCCGAGCTTTGTGGCGATCATGCGCTTCACGAACTCGTCCGGGCTGTGAAGAACCGTCTGGGACTCGAAGCCGGGAAGACCCGAGAAGAAATCGTCCTTGACGAGCTGGACGTGGTCGAAGTCGCGCTTGGTCTTGACCCAGCTCCCCAGAGAGGAAGGCAGGACAATCTTGCGGTTGTGGGGGATGGCGATGGCGTAGGGCTGGTCGGGGTACTTTGCCTTGCCCTCGCGGAGCAGGCCGCGGGCGTTGTTTTGGGCCTCGGCATGGGCCTTTTTTCTCATGTAGTCGCCCGGATAGCTGTTGATGATGGGAAATATGTCGTCGCGAGGCCGGATGAGCATGGTGCTGGCGGCTGCCACGACGGCCACAGCAGACCAGGCCAGGGGGCTAGATAGGAATTCTTGTATCATGTTTTCGGCGGTGATGTTAGATGTTGGTGTGACTGGCAGATGGACAAAGAAACGTGCTTAGATGGTCGAGACTGGGTTTCAATTGAAGTAGTATCCGTTATGGTTGATTCGAAGCACAACTTTGTATTATGTCTATCGAGTGGGTCTGATGGGATTTCTCAGTGCACAACCTCGCTCATTATGATTCATCCCCGAACGGGCCGTGTTAGCGCCGGCGAGCCCGCATGTAGCTCGCCGGTATCGACTATGACGTTAGCCCCTTCATGTCCGTGAAGAGGATTAAGCCTCATAGTGCCCTGACCTTATCTATATTGAGTGGGTCTGACGGGACTTCTCAGTACACAACCTCACTCATTATGATTCATCCTCCAGCGAGCCGTGTTGGCGCCGGCGAGTCGTATGTAGCTCGCCGGTGTTGACCATATCGCTAGCTCCTTAACGTCCTTGAAGAGCTAAACCGTTAAGTGACCTCCCGTCATCGCGAACAGCCGATATTGCGCCCAAGAATGAAGGCTGAAACACTCCCCTCCCCTCACGAGGAGAGTGTTGCGAATAATGTTCTGATTGTCCTGTGTGTTGTTTATGAAGCACCACCCGGCATCAGGTGCTTCCGGAGGTCCTCCTGTGCGTGCATAGCTTGCCAGATGCCACGTTGTGCGCTCCACCATGCTTCCTAGTCCCACTTATTCCCACCACATCCAATCCAACGGAGAGCGACGCCTCTTTCCAGCCATTCGTCGAAGCTCCTGCTACACATCAACAGGCAGCTCCCGAATGAAGATGTCTTCACTCTATGGGGAATTAAGGTAGATAGAGTACCTGTACGACACAGTGTGGGATCAAGGATCGCCCGAGGTCTCGGTGTTCAAGTATAATGGGCTTCCCGTAGAGACTCAAATGACGGTCAAAAGAGCGTTTGAAAAACACCAGCGGATTTCAAATGCTATTATGTTTACTCTAATAATGAAGACGACGACGAAAAAGAATACAAGCCGATTTGTGGTTAAGTTATGTGAATTACTGTGAAGTTTTATATCTTTTAAACGGGAGGGGTCAAAATGTTTTGATCCAACGCGAACAAAACCATAACTAATAACTAAGGATCCCTACTAGAGAACTTCCGGAAAATCCAATTTGCTGTCCAGTTAGTTTAGAGGGGAAATCGTCGCGAAATAACGCCGTAAGCATTCTCAGACATTGGCGGCTCGCAGGCCAAGATATTCACGCAAGATACGATCAATGAGGCACTGAGCCCCCACGGAACCATGAAGTTGACTGACTGCGTACAGTACAGAGATGGAACAAGAATCAAAGATCATTTGAGTAACCATCATCATACTCGTCGAACTCTGCCTCGTGACCCGCGTCAGAGTCCGAATACCACCCATGCTCCAAGAATAACGTCATCTTTGGTTTACCACCGACCGAGGCCATTAGGCTCGGATCCAGCTCGAGCTGAGCGGCCACGTCAACGCCGGCCCGGACAAGCATCTTGGCTATGCCCATATTGTTCGACCGCACGGCGAGCGTAAAGGGCGTCTCGACCACAGTCGTGCCGTCGGCCAATGTAACCTCACTGACCGCGTTAACGTCGGCGCCGTGCTCGATGAGCAGCTGCGTCGTCGTCGAGCCCGCGTGCATCAGCGGCGTCATCCCGCGCTTGTCGCGCTGCTCGAGATCGACCCCGCCTTGGTCGAGCAGGTACCTCGCGATCTCGACCCTGTCCGAGCTTACGGCCGTCGCGAATATGCTGCGGCCGTGGCTGTCCACCGCGTTCATATCTGCTCCGCTGGATAGGAGCAGCTGTGCGATCTCAGTCGCGCCGCTCCATAGCGCCGTCATGAGTGGTGTCTCACCGTCATCCCGGGTCCTTAAGCTTAGTGCCTCTACCACGGCGGGACAGTATCCGTGGTCCGCCATCTTGGAGTCGTGGCTGGTGGAGGGCAATGCGCGCTTGGGCTTGTGATCGGAGCTAGGCCCGGTGCCGCAGTGGGCGTCGTGAATGCGATCTAGTAATAGCTGCACGGTGTCGTGGTCCCTAGACTTGACAGCGTGATGCAGCACCGACATCCCCAAATCGTTGGTGGCCGATAGCGACGCTCCATGTGTCAGTAGAAGCTCGACGACGAGCTGGGAACCAGACTCTGCGGCGCTCATCAGCGCGGTCGTGCCGTGGCGCGAGCTCGCGGCATTAACGTCAGCTCCGGCGTCGATCAGGCCGCGGACCTGCCGGAGCTTGAAGGTGTCGTCGTTGTGGATGGTGGTGGCGGCTATGAGTGGCGTGTGGCCCGAGATTCGGTGGTGGACGTTGACGGGTATGCCACCTTTCAGGAGGACTCTGGCGAGGAAGAAGTGCGAAGTCGTCAAGAGTCGAAAAGCTTGCTGATCGTCGATTGGCATCCACTTTCTCCCTCCTGGGGCTTCGCGCTGAATCCGGGAGACAATCACCCTTAGGACTTCCAATTGGGCATCGAGAGACACCTCAGCCGTCACGGACACAGCCATGTCGAGGACGTTCTTGGAAAAGTGCGGAGCCTCTGAGCTGTCGAACAACATAGGGTCTGCCCCTGCCTTGAGCAGAGACACGACCGTTGCCAGCCTACTTTCGCCCACTGCCCGATGCAGTGGTGTCAGCCCAGACTGATTTCGAGCCTCGAGCTTGGCTCCGTGAGCAAGCAAGACATTGCAAATCTCGACCCAGCCCATTGCAGCAGCGACGTGAAGCGCGGACTCTCCGTTGCGATCTCGCGCGTCGACAAACCAGGGTATGCGCGCAGCCTGCTCGCCAGACTTGGTCCTCCCGGCGGCCGTGTTCAACAATATCTGGCAGATATCGATACGGCCTCTCCGCGCTGCCATCGTGAGTGG